CGTCTGCCCATGCCACAGCTGGGAAACCCGATGGCACCATGGACCACACCAGTGTCTGGCTGAAGGAGCCAACCTAGGCAAGGGGATCATGGGGTGCTGTGGCCAAGCATCACCCTGACCGCTCCCACCCCTGCCTGCAACCACACCAAGGGTGTGAGACCTGCCTGAGCCCCTCCTTGACACCCTGTGCAGGGGGTCCCTGCAGCCCCCCACACTCCCTCTGCAGCCAGAGCCCCCCTGTGGGCACCATGCAAGGGTGGGGGCCTCCTCCACAACAAAGCAGCTAATGTAAACGGGACCCTTATCCCGCGCCGGGCCAGGCTTCCTGCTCCCAACTTCCCGCTGAGATAAGGGCGGCCGCTCTGGCGCCAGGCGCTGCCGCCAAAGCTGGGACACGCGGTGCTTCCCCCACGCCGGGACAGACACAGGCAGCACTGGGGCACCAGGGGCTTGGCGTGCCTGGGGACCCCCTGCCATCCAAATGGTCCCACAAATCCCACTGCTGCCACCTTTGCTGCAGCTCTGGCCAGGCTGGGCCCTTTGGAGACATTTTGCTTTCGGACCCTTCCCGCCAGTGCTGGTCAGGGCAGGAAAAGGCCTGGATTGGAGACAAGCAGGGAAGCTCCTTTAACAAGGGGCTGAGCTACATGCAGGGAGAATCCCAGCAAGGGGCAAGCAGAGCCATGGCCCCCGCTCCTGCCCCTCAGTCTCAGGCAAATGTGACCAGGGTGCCCAGGACCTTTCCAGCATGAGGGCTAGAAGGTTTGGGGCAGGGGAAGATGCATTGCCAGAGCGCCCCAAAAACACCCAGGGGGTCAGGCGCTGCACAGGTTTATTGGGAAGTCTCTGGGATTGAAGCAAGGGTGGCACGGGTTGGATGGGGTCCTGGCCCTAGAGGTCCATCGGCTCCATCAGCATGGGATGACAAGCAGTCCTGGAAAGGGAGAGAAGCACAAAGGCAAGGATGCCCTTACCAGCACCACAGAAGCATTCTGGCACC